GTTGAGCTGCAGATGGTTCTGCTCACACCATGTGACAAAGTTATCCACAACAGCCCTGTACTCATCCTCATCACCCTTGGTGATACATCCAACTATAGCAGAGTCATCAGAAAACTTCTGAAGATGGCAGGTCTCAGTGCAATAGCTGAAGTCCGTGGTGTAGAGGGTGAAGAGGAAGGGAGAGAGGATAGTCCCCTGCGGGGCCCCGGTATTGCTGACCACTCTGTCTGACACACAGCGTTGCAAGCGCACATACTGTGGTCTGCCAGTCAAGTAGTCTACAATCCATGACACCAGGGGGGCATCCACCTGCATTGCTGTCAGCTTGTCACCCAGTAGAGCTGGACGGATGGTGTTGAACGCACTAGAGAAGTCAAAAAACATGACCCTCACAGTGCTCACCGGCTTATCCAAGTGGGCGTAGACACGGTTGAGCAGGTAGATGATGGCGTCCTCAACTCCAAGTCGGGGCTGATAGGCGAACTGGAGGGGGTCCAAAAGTGGCTTGACCATGGGCCGGAGCTGCTCCAAGATGAGTCTCTCCAGGGTCTTGTGGGAGGTCAATACCATGGGTCTGTAGTCCTTGGAGCCACTGGGATGTGACGTCTTTGGCACAGGAACGAGGCAGGATGTCTTCCACAGCAAGGGGACCCTCTGGAGACTCAGGCTCATGTTGAAGACATGCTGAAGTACTCCACATAGCTGAGGGGCACAGGCTTTGAGCACCTTGGGGCTGACACCATCAGGGCCTGCAGCCTTATTTGAGTGGAGTCTCATCAGCTGTCTTCTCACATGATCAGCAGTGAAGCACATTGTGGAGGTGACGACACGTGGGGGAGGGGTGTAGTCCTCATGATGGAGAGTGCCGTCAGTCTGACCACGGGGGGAGGAGGTGTGAGGAGGAGGAGGAGGGAGGGGCCAAGCAGGAGGGTGTTGAGGTGTGAGAGGGAGGAGTGGGGGAGGAGGGCGGAGTGGGAGATGGTTGACCAAGACAGACAGCAGAAGAGTCGAGCTTCCTCCTGTACCTCTCCTTAGCCTCCCTGATCTTCATCTTCAGCTCCCCCTGTATTGTTCTCACCTCCTCCCTGTTACCAGCTCTGAAAGCCCTTTTCTTTGAGTTGAGGATGGCTTTGATGTCCTTTTTTACCCACGGTTTGTTATTTGGATAACAATGGACAGTCCTGGCTGGGACAGTGGAGTCCACACAGAAGCTGATGTAGTCCGTGATGCATTCTGTGAGCCCGTCGATGTCCTCCCCATGTGGCACACAGAGTGCCTGCCAGTCTGTCACCCCAAAACAGCCCTGCAGTGTCTCTTAAGCCTCTTCCGACCATCTCCTCACTGTCCTCATGGTAGCATGCTGGCTCTTGACTAGTGGTACATAGCAGGGGTTGAGGTGCACCAGGTTGTGGTCTGACCTACCCAGAGGGGGGAGGGGGGAGCAGCTGTATGCATCTTTGGCGTTAGCATACAGCAAGTCCAGTGTTCTCTCCTCTCTGGTAGGACAACTCACATACTGTGTAAATGTGGGCAATGTTGTTTCCATGGTGACATGGTTGAAGTCACCCGAGATAGCTATGAAGGCACTCGGGTGTTTAGTCTGCAGACAGGCTATGGGGGAGTGAATGACGTCACATGCCGACGTCGGGTTGGCAGAGGGGGGGATGTAAACAGTTACAATAATGGCATGTGAAAACTCCCTGGGCAAATAATACGGCCTGAGTCCAACAGCAAACAGTTCAATGTCCGGGCAACAGATACGTTCCTTAATAGAAACATGGTCAGGACTACACCAGCGGTTATTTACTAGAACGGCAAGCCACCCTCCTTTGCGCTTACCGCTCTCGGTGCAGTCCCGGTTGGCCCGAACAGTCTGAAAGCCGCTGATGGAGACGTTGGTGTCGGGAATGTCCTGGTGAAGCCATGTCTCAGTGAAGCACATAAGACTACATTCCTGGTACTCCTTCTGACTCCTGGCGATGGCTGTCAGCTCGTCCATCAATATCATCACCTTTTAAAGTTGCAGTGTGTAGGGTTTTGGGGGTATATTGGCAGAAATGGAATATAATATAAAAGAATGTCTTGTTGAGTGTATAATCACTTGTAAAAAGAATCACCTTAGAATGAGCCATTTCTATTGACAGAGAGCAGGTTGTTGGCCATGGAGTCCGCAAGGTTGCTCTGCCATGTTTCTTCACCAGCCAAAAATATGGACAAGCCAAACACTGGCTCTGGATAGGGCCACTCACGTTTTTGCGTCGTTCACTGTAGTTAGCAGTCCGTCCGTGGTGAGAGTGTCAGAAAAACACTGACTTTTTTTTAAACTTGAGACCGCTATATTCAATGTGTGCAATGTGTGTGTTTGTTTTGGAGAGGAAGAGACCCCTGCAGATAATTCGGCTACTGGTAAATATCTCCTGAATGTCTGGGTCACAGAAAAGGTGACCACACTTTAAGTTATCAAAGAAAAATGATGAGCATTTATACCTGGGCGTAACTCTGGACAATAAACTCAATTTGACTCGATCAGCACACCAGAGACATACAAAAAAGGAGCCAACAAAGACTGTCAGCTATCTGAAAACTCAAAGGACTATATGTCGCCCCCCATCTACTGCTACTTGTGTATCAAAGCATCATTCAACCAATTCTTCTGCACTGTTCCACATGTTTCTTCAATCAATCAATCAATCAATCAATCAATCAGTCAATCAGTCAATCAATTTTATTTATAAAGCCCAATATCACAAATCACAATTTGCCTCATGTGAATTCACCCTGCTTTCTGTCACCAATCTCGCCAAACTGACACGCATCACACACACCGCTTCCAAAATCACTGGCCTTCCCACACCCACCCTCACAGAGTTAAATAACAGGTCCATTACACGCTTTGCAAAATCAATAGAACGGGACACAGGGCGCAGGAACTAAACACTTAAACTCAGGAAAGCTTGACTCGGGAAGAGCCTGATCCCAGCAGCCATAGCTGCGATGAACAAGAGATCCCGTTGACTCAAAGTGTCCACCCCTGTGAACAAACGTGATGTTTTGTGATGTTTGTGATATATCTGTGCCTGTGATATTTGTGATCGATCTCTGTAAATGTACAGTTAGTGGAAACAAATTTCCCTCTGGGACGAATAAAGCAAGTCTAAAGTCTACACGCAGGTTCCCGGGCTAATCTGCAACAAGCAGAATATCATAGGAGAAACCCTGATTTGTCATGTGAAACTGCTTTATTCATTTGTTTTTAGCAAGCTGTTTGTGTTGGAGAGGAAGAGACCCCTGCAGAAAATTTGGCTCCCAGTAAAAATCTCTTTAACAATGAACATAGACGGTATTCTAATCAGGAGTTAGTGTACACTAACTTGCTACTTGATGTACTGTAGGTCTACACTTTCAGCTTCAGCTTCATGCAATGTGCAATCCTCACCACTAGATGCCACTGCAGATTCAGGTGATAATTCTCTCGAGGTTTGTCACTAGGAATGACCCTTTCACATTGTCACTCGCCCGTGGGAAGGTCATGTCAGTCTGTGTCAGAGTTTATCAACCTAAAAGACACACTGACATATTTCTTCATAAAGTTATTTTGGCTAAGAAAGGCAAAACAAAGTTAGCAAACAGCTGCAGCAGACTCTGCAAAGTCTAACATTCATGTGCTTGCACTGGTATACATCAGTTCCTCCGGTGAATTTCCAGAAAATGTAGTTCTTTTGTGATCAAATTTCACTTTTCGTGATAGAAGATTTTATCCATACCGCCCACCAGAAAGGACCTGCAGGATACTTGTAAGTACAGTGTCATGCATTAACTGCATAAGTTGCAGTTCACTGGACCAGCAAAAATTTAGCCTAAAATCTACAAAATACTTTTACATCTGTCTATTTTGTCATTTCTCTGTTGATGTGATTATTTGAACTTTTCTAAAGATGTTTTACTTTTCTTCTGGATCTAAATGAGGGATTTATAGTAAGTTAAATGTAATTTAAGTAGTACCCAGATACAGAAATCATTCATCATGCATGAGGAAAAAAAAACAGTGAGAAGCAGTTTGAAATATTTTGAATTCAATGTCAAACACATTTGTGGACCCTTTTTTTTAATAATCAATCATTAACACAAGGCACATACAGTCATATTAAAATACAAAACATAAAAAAAGGATTTGTAATTTAAATATTTACAGTGTTAAAAGTCATGCCTGCAAATTACCCAACACAGGAGAAAGTAAAAGGCAAAGTGGCACTAACAGCCCTTACATAGTTTTTTTTTTTTATTTTTTAGAGTAAACAGGTTGGTAGCACAACTAAATGGCTTTTAGCTAGTGCAAAAGCAACAAACCACATAACTCAGTTTTTGAACAATTAAATAAACGCTTTAGTGAAACAATACCATGAATTGTATTATTCTTGTGCAAATTTAAATATTTAAACGTTTCTGACTATTCATAAATAGTCTACATATATGTCTCCAAATTTGCATAATTTTCATGAATTTTTAAGCATCTCATAAATAAATAACTCCGAGTGTTAGTCACGTGGGCCATGGTCTCATTTCAGTCACATTTTTTGTGCCCTGATGCTTTCTTGGTAACTATGCGACTGTTACATTGGATCCAAATGGCAACCTTCAGGCTGTGCTGTGACTGGCATCATGGAGGCCTAGCTTCTCACTTTTCATCAGACTGTCACCGTTCAAACGTGGGTGAATGGCAAGAGCAGTGGCCGGCACAGTTTTAGACCTCCGTCTGGATGAGCGAGAACAAGCCAGGTAGAAGATTTCTGCCACGTTGAGTACAAGAGAGATGCAGGACACGACAAGCATGAAGATGATGAAGATGGTCTTCTCTGTGGGTCGAGACATGAAGCACTCTACGGTGAAGGGGCAGGGGGCTCGGGAGCAGACGATTCTTGGGTCCATGACAAAGCCGTACAGGTAATACTGCCCCACAATGAATCCTATCTCCAGGAGGATTCTGAAGAATATGGAGATCATGTAGTTTCCCAGCAGGTTGCCTTTTATCTCAACATGGCCTTTTTCGTCAGAGTACTTGGGAAGTTTGACAATGTCACCCGAGTGGGTCTTCCTGTATTCCCTTAATTTATTTTCTTTGTGGATGACGTGGAGGACATGACCGAGGTAGATAAGGGTCGGTGTTGACACAAGGATAATCTGGAGGACCCAGAATCGGATGTGTGAGATAGGGAAGGCATGGTCGTAGCAGACGTTCTTGCAACCAGGCTGTTTGGTGTTACAAACCATATTCGACTGTTCATCCCCCCACACCTGCAATGTTAAGACCAGAAATCAGTATCATTATTCCATATATTGCCAAGGTACTTTTAGAAACATGATGTCATCATGGAGGTCCACTGGTTAATACAAACTAAATAATAACCTAGGAGGCTACAAAATGATATTATGAATATGAATGTTGTGGTGTGGCAATACAAACAATCAGTGACATTATTATTTATTTATTCATTTATTTATTTTAATGTATTGTATTTTATATGGTATGCGCAAATTTCGTCTTCTTAATGTTTCTGCACTGTGCTCCGACTGACTAATGATCTCCACATACACTCCACTCTCCATTTCTCTCATGTTCAATTGTTTTTTTAGTGTCAAAATGAATAATACAATAAGATAATTTAATATATGTTAATTAAATTCAATCAGATTAAATGTAATTTAAATTGAATTAAAACCTGTTTTGTTTTGTTTTACTGAATCCAGTTTTCATCCGATCTGTAGGTCTCGATTATGGCCACCAGAGGGTGTTATTTTACATTAAAGCTTTTAAAGTCTCATAAAATGAATTCAGATGTTTGTCACATAGGTTTGATGCTACAAAAAAAGCAAAGTATAAACAAACAAAATGAGACCTTCTCTGCTCCAGCTCCAAGGATCATGATCCTGAAGATAAAAAGCACACTGAGCCAGACCTTCCCAATGACAGTGGAGTGGGACTGGACCTTGTCCAGTAAGGAGGACAGAAAACCCCACTCTCCCATGGTGTCTGATCTGATGAGGAAAAACAAAGAAACATTAAAAAAAAAAAAAAATTATCATCGTCAAAGTAAATTATGATGTCCCTCCAGACGGAGGGAAGAAACATTTTCCCCTCATTTGGCTGATAAATATCAGCGTTTACTAACTTCATGCAGACCCTACAATTTTTCAGCTGTCTTTCACGGCATGTTTCAGTAACCACAGATGCAGAGGCAGATGTAAACGCAGTGACCCACAATTATTTGCAGAATAGTTTCCAAATTCACTGGGAGATCATTGTAAAGTTGCAAGTTTTTGAGAAAATAAGCAATATCTATGATAATGAAATACCTTGTGTCTATTAAACCAGTGATATTTTATTCTCCATATTACATATGGGACAAAAGTACAAGTTAAAGCATTCTGTATGCTTTCTGCATTATTTTTTTTTTTAACTCCTAACACATGGTTATTGATTAACAGAAGGAGTAAAACTTCTTCAAAAACAGCAGAAAGTTTCTTTTGCTTAGGAGACACAACGACATGCTGTAAAAACCCTAATCTACAGCCTAGTATAGTACGTTCGGAACATAAAGACAGAGCTATAAAATCCATTACATAACAAAGACTTAACTCAAGCTCTCTTACAATATGTGAATAGATGTAATGATAGGAGAGGAATTTATATTTCACGGATGTTTCTGTGCCTTTGAGACGCTCCATCTGTAAGTATGATTTGTCAGGGAAAAAAAAAATGGATTTATCTACTTAAAGTTAAAAAAAATAGTGTATGTCAGCAATGTTCAGAGTTCTGAACTCCCAAGAAAATGCTGAAAAATTCATAGATAATATAGATTTTTACAGTCAGTGCATGAAACTCTGAATGGTCATAGTTTGTCTGTACCCACTCACACAAATACTTAATATGCTTACAACACTAAATCAGAATAAGAAGTTACCTGTAAAAATAAACACCTATATCCTTTGTAATATATCTGTGTGGTTGAGGTGTCTTTTATTTCTGAAAGCAACACCATTTAAGTTTGACTTAATTACAATCTGTATATTGTGCAGACAAAATAACCATCATTAAAATAAAGAAGTAGTTGTGCACCCTACCTTTGAATTTAGAAGGCCTCTGTGCAGACAAACAGACCAGCCAGCAGCTGTGCATGTGAATGACAGAGCCCAGTGAAACAAACCCAACCTGTCTACGGTACCTTGAACTTTAGATTAGATGGAACTGCGCAACAGTGTTAGCTGTCACGTTGTCATGATATCTGGAAATGATAAATCTCAAGTGGCCAATTTTGGGCAGAGCGCTGACAAGATTGTACAGGTTAATGATTGGCAGTGCCACAAACTGAATTCTTTAGCTCGTAATTTTTCTACAGTCATTTTATGTATACGTTTTATATTGATGCTGTTTTAAAGTTAAATCAAACAGACCAACACAGTAAATGGAAAAAGTATCCCACACCATTCCCCCTTTTTTAAATTTTGTATTGAGACTAAAGGGCACAATAACATGAACACCTGTACAGAGTGATGCAATCCAGCACAAAACCCCTGCAATGAAGACTACGTGAGGTTTTAGCAGTCACATTCATTTTTTGTTTAGACTGTGTAAACAGAAATTTTGGGGGGTTTTTTGTTCAGGCTGCGTGATTTACACCAAGTATGAGCAAACTGAGCAAATCTAATATTATAAGCTCACAAAGATGCCTTTGTTAAAGGGATTTTATATTGAGCTGCAATATGCTGAGCAGGTCCTCGTGATCCCTGTGAATTTTATGGATGTATTTTGTCCCCATAATATGTCACATATATTGTCCATCTGATACAGATGTCCTCATCCTTATATGAACTCATTCAAATTATTATTTTACGAGTGGTGGTGGCAAATGTCTATCAGCCACTCCCTATTCTGAAGTTATAGTATGCATACACTATTATAAAGTTCTAGTGATTTATTGATCAGTCACTCACCAGACAATATAATTAACAGTTTAATCATAAAAGTAATTTTTAAGCAAAAATAGCAAAGCTTTGCAAATGTGAAAATTTTCAGTTTTTCTGACTCTTCTTTGATATTAAACTGAATATCTTTGGGTTATGGATAAAACATGACAGATCTGAAAAAGTCATAATGAGCTCTGGGAAGCTGAGAATTTTATAGCCCAAACTATTTGAGAAAATAAACGTCAGACCAGTTGATAATGAAAAAAAAATAATATTCACAGCATTATTAAATATGTGTAAATCATGCTCTTTGAGAGTAAGGTGTTTGACTTTGGGGTGCAAATAATGACTGTAGTCATGAAACATTGTTTTTTATCCAACTTAAATCATTTATTAAAAACAATACAGACCACAAAAAATGTCTCAGCCCTATACAGTAGAAACAAACTCTTCACCACAATCATCATCATCATCATCATCATTACCATCATCATTACCATCATCACTACGTTCATCAGTCAATGAGCAAAGTATTTCAAGTCCTGGATACTAAGCATGTCAATAACTTACAGGACACATTTAATACCTAGGCATAGACAAAACTCTGCTTACTAATGGATTAACAGGTGAGTATGCAAGAACATAAATAAATTATCAATATTGCACGCTTTCCATTATTAGAAAATACAAAATAAAATTCTAACATCTACCTAAAAAATATGGCAATTTATGCAGACTTTTCTCTGCAAGTATATGATTTTACTTCACAATAATACAGCTTCTCCTTAATGATTTATAAACCACATAGTAAGAACTCTTCACTGAAGTCTCTTAGAAATCTCGAAATCTGAAACGAGATTATTTAAATGCATCATACGGTGGTATTTAATGACCACTCAGTAGTCGTTTCTCCTCTTTGGCTCCATCCAGGCTTCCACCGATACTCTGGCTGCTCTCTAGCTCCATGTTCATCTTGTTCTGCTTGAGTGTTTCCTCTGTAGTCGGCCACCTTGGACTCGACAGGCTGGCAGGGTTTTCAGCTGAAGTGACCTTGTGAGTGCGAGACTTGGACCCACATCTCACCCTGGTACAAATAAGGTAGAATACCTCAATGACATTGAGAAACAGGGAAATGCAGGCCACCACCAGCATGAAGATAATGAAGATGGTCTTCTCTGTGGGTCGGGACATGTAGCACTCCACAGTGAAGGGACAGGGGGTCCTGGAGCAGGGGAACATGGGGACCATGACGAAGCCATACAGGTAGTACTGGCCCACTATGAAGGCGGCCTCGATGATGATCTTGAACACGAGCTGGGTCAGGTAGCTCCCCAGCAGGTTCCCCTTGATCTTCACCTTTCCCTTTTCATCTGTGTATTTGGGCATCTTGACCAGCCGGGTCCCGCCGGGGCTTTTCAGCTCCTCCCTCAGCTTTTTCTCTTTGTGAATGACGTGCAAAGCGTGGCCCAGGTAGACCAGCGTTGGCGTGGACACAAAGATGATCTGGAGGACCCAGAAGCGAATGTGCGAGATGGGGAAGGTCCAATCGTAGCAGACATTCTCGCAACCAGGTTGTTGAGTGTTGCAGACAAAACCCGACTGCTCGTCGCCCCAGACGCTCTCAGCACCTGCACCCAGGACCATGATCCTGAACAGGAAGAGGACGCTCATCCAGATCTTCCCAATGACTGTGGAGTGGGACTGGACCTTGTCCAGCAATTTTGACAGAACTCCCCAGTCTCCCATCTTTAGTGCTGATGTTCAGTTACTGATCTAAACAGACAGAAGGAAATAAAATATACCTTCATGAGCTGATAAATACAAAAACTGTGTGCAGAGATCCTGCACCACACCTTCTTAACAGAAACATTAACCACAGCTTAGTATTCAATCAATATGGTGCTGCTGGAAGAAAGGCACTTATTGTTCTTTTCAATTTAATTTTTTTCTGTTCTTGAACCTGGCCACTTTGTAGAGTAAGAGGATATCAGAGCCCTGTGAACCCTGAGTGCGTTGGCAAATATTTTCCTATCATTAATCAGAATTTTGAACGGATGACTCTGTAGGCTGGTAAAAGGATAATACTTTGAAAATATAGTTCTTTCCCTATGTAAATGTAACTTTAAATAGCTTACATCAATATTCTGTATGACACAATTGTAAATTTATCTATACAATAAAAATATTAAACATGCATCTTGTAGGCAAAGCTGAGAAGTAAAACATGAAAAGCAATCTAATGCCATTATTTGTTTTAGGTCATATTAATACTGCTAGAGAATAAGCAAAGTCATCATTAACATTCAAAGTAAAAAAAATAAAAAATAAAAAAAAAACACATAGTGTATTTCAAACAAAAAATACTATATTTCTATTCTGTATAATGTCCTTTAAAAATATATTCACTCACAAAATCAATATTATTTCATACGTAAAATAATTAGTTATGTATAGCAGAGAACAACGCTCGTTGCATCTTACCTGCGGACCTGGTCAGGAAAGACTGTCTGACTTGGACGGAGATCAGTAACTCTAAAGTTGGACCTTGGAGTGTGCTCTGATGCACTGATGAGGGATCGCATTGCACAACACACATCTGGCCTCAGATGTCACGTTGTACCCGTCAGCAAACGCGAGCAGAAAAAGTTGATGAAAGACGAGACCAGGAGGGCTAGTGTAATAATTGACAGGTGTTCAGTATCTTGGTTTAAATGGCCTTGAAAGTTTGAAAATATACAGACAAGGTGTGTAATCATTAGGACATAAAACTACTGCTCATATTGGACTCTTCTGCATGTATTTGACTGGGGTTGTAAATGATGAATGGCAGCATAATTGTAAATGGTTAAGTTCTGGCATTCTGGGCCAATTAATACAGAGACATGTAGTGGTGTAGTGGTAGTTGAGGTAGGTGTATTATTAGGTAGATGGGTAGGTTACTGAGGAGGAAGTAGGTTTAGTCTCCCATTTGTTTTCTTGGCTTTTTGGCTGATAAGTGGGCTTACCTCCAGAGAAAGAGGTGGGTATACCCTGTATACCAACGTATAGGCTACCCACCACTACACCATTGGTGTCCTTGTCTCATGTGTTTTGGCTGCAGTACCTATAATACGCATTAAAGAATAGTCAAACATACAAGGAAATATGCCTTCTTCTTTTTGGCAATAGATGTTAAGATAGATACCCCTCTTATGTTTGTACACTAAGTATGAAGCTACAACCAGTAAGCTTAGCTTAAGCGGATGGCACACCAATCAAACCTTCACTAACAGACAAACACAGGTGTTTGTTTGGCGTGCCATGGCTGTCTGTCCTTGTTTTTGTTTTTTTTGGAGAGGTTTGATCAGATGTGAGGTTTAATCTGTGTTTGTCCACGTTTGAGAAAGTTTGGTAAGTTTGACTTTCTGGGACAAATGGACTAGTGTGCGTATCTCAGCTGTGTAGTGCTAGTTGATGAATTTGGTGTACTGCTAGGTGGATGGGTTGGTTGCCAAGGAAGAAGTGGGTATACGGTTCTATATATTCAAATGGATTTTTGGCTGATAGTCGGGTAGACTGTGGCCAGAAAAAGAGGTGGGTATACCTGCCCTCTACACCACTGGCAAATCTATGGCAATGCAGCTCGCACATGCCCATTAGCTGTAAACTCACTGTACCAGCCATGTATTTGTTACTATTGTGTTGAATGAGGTGGGAGCGTATCTATGTTTCCCAGGTTCTATGTTCCCCACTTAACCCTGCAAAAAAGGTTCTATGTTCCCCGCTTACACCAAAAAGGTTCTATGTTTCCCTGATTCTATGTTCCCCGCTCAACCAAGCGGGAAACATAGAACCCTTTCTGTGTAAGCGGGGAACATAGAACCTTTTTTGCAGGGTTAAGTGGGAAACATAGAACCCGGGAAACATAGAACCCGGGAAACATAGGGATGACCCCAATGAGGTGATTTAGCTTGAGTAGCTTAGCAGAAAGATCCATCTAATGAAGACTCTTGGAAGTCACACCTGGCAAAGAAATAGTTTGGTATACTTTGGTTTTCATACAGGGTTAAACAACTGAAATATAACCTGTTAATAAGTGAGCTGTGGAGATGCTGGTAGGCTAACTTATTACCTTTAGTTTGGTCAGTCCCAGGCTAGCTGCTTCGCTTTGTCTCTAGTCTGCACGCTAAACCAAGCTAACGGTTTTTCACAAAATACCTATATGTAAGGCAATTTGTTTGAAAGTACAAAAAAAGTAATAGCAATACCAGATATGTTTGTTTGCTCTACTTGTTAAAACTTTATCTGATACTTTAATGAACAGATGCTTTGAGGAATGAATTGTTTGCTGATGGCAGAATGATAAGAAATATATACTCTGCAGATTTATACTCACTGGCCGGAACAATGATTATAAAACTGCATTAGAATTCATTCTTTCAGCACACAATTAACTAAACGCTCTGTATGCATTTAAGCAATTGTAGCTCTTTATACAGTATGATAGATTAATAAAAAGCTGCAGAGGTTTGAATGGATGAGGTTGTTCTGAATATAAAAACCCTTGGAGAAATTCAGACACAGATTAGTATATGTATGAGAAGTTTATTGAATCAAAACTGTAACAACATTGTCTTAAATCACCCAAAGAAAGTACGCTTTGTAAAATTGATCAAAAAATAATCTACAGATTGTCAACTGTGAGAAAATATGGTCTCTTGTTTTTCGATTACGTCTAATAGTCAATTGAAGTCATTTTAGGCAACATTTTGCATGTGACCGAGTTCTGTTTACAGAAGCTGGCTACTCCCCCTCCCTCTGTCTGTGATTACCGCATACACACACACACACACACACACACACACACACACCCCTTTCCTCCCCAAAGCCAATACACACACTGAAACTCAGGAGAATTGGACACGTACAACTTATCACTGCCTCCATGTGTCAGATGCGAATCTCTGCCCCCATGCTGTTGCTTTCAGGTGATACATTCTTAGCAGTGTCAGTGGCCCCGTTCACCCCCAACTTTCGTCCTTGGAGCTCCAGCTCCAGGTTGACACAATTCTGGAGCATCTCATCGCGGCTTTTAAAAGCTTTCCTTTCCAAAGGTGGAGGAGTCACCGGGGTCACAGTGTAATCCTGCCTCCTCGCCATGCACTCCTTCACAGCTTTCACGCACAGGTAGAACAGCTCAACCAGGCTGAGGACGAGGGAGACAAACGCTGCCACCAGCATGAACCAAATGATGATCGACTTCTCTGTAGGCCTGGACAGGAAGCAGTCCACCTTGTGAGGGCAAGGGAAGCGGGTGCAGACGTAGCGGGTCTGGAGGGTGAAGCCGTAAAGAAAGTACTGACCCACAATGAACACAACCTCCAGGATAATCTTCACCACGAGATGGAGGACGTAACTGCGGAGGAGCTGGCCTCGGATGCTGATCTTGCCAGTGCTCTTTGTGTACTTGGGGACTTTGTAGGCCCTCCTCAGGAAGAGGCTGGCCTGGTCATCCAACTCAGCCTGTTTCTTCATCCTCTCCTTCATCTTGGATTGGAAGGACAAGAAAACAGAGTTAGACGTTTTTCAGTAATCTGAAAAAGAAAGACTTAGAAGCCATGCAGATGCATTGGAAGGAATTAGGCGAAAAACATGTTAACATGTTAGCTAAAATGAGCTAAATAGGAGTTGTAGAGTTGGTGATAATTCTCAATGGGTTTGGCACTACACTTTTACATCACTGCTCCATGCTTCTGCCACTACAGGTGCGGAGTGCCTGACAAATCAAACATTTACCCGTCACGCTATCATATTACACCCATTGTAGAGACACACCTTCTTCTCAATGTGGATCACATGGAGGACATGGCCAAGGTATAGCAGCTTTGGGGTTGCCACAGCAATAATCTGAAGGACCCAAAAGCGCACATGAGAAATGGGGAAGGCGAGGTCATAGCAGACGTTCTCACAACCGGGCTGTTGAGTGTTGCAGACAAAGTCGGACTGCTCATCGCCCCAAACCTAGAGGAAGATTACAGGAAACAGATGATAGTGGAGATGATACATGATCTTTTAAAGTTATGCAAGTTCAGAATGTAGAAGTGACAATGTTTACTGCCATGTAGCTTACAAATAGTGAGTGCTAATGTGCTGGAAACTCTGGCTTTTAATGCACATTGGCTACTGCCGGTAAAGTGTGTTTAAAATGGCGAATATATGACCAAACCTTCTCAGCGCCAGCGTGCAGGACGAGGATGCGGAAGACAAACAGCACTGTGAGCCAGACCTTGCCGATCACCGTGGAGTGGCTCTGTACTTTATCCAGCAAGCGGCCCAGCAGATCCCATTCGCCCATTTCAATTGCCAGTTGTCCTGCTTTCTCTGTGAGGAGACGAACACGAAAACCATCTATTAAGATTCACAGGGGGCAAATCTCTGCAGGTATACTTGCATTATTTGAGACGTCTATACACTGTTACTGGTGGATCAAACAGAATTGTAATCTGGTCATTACCGATTCCTTTAACACCCCTTGGTTGGAGCTGTTAAAAGGCCATACAGAAATCATTGTAGGTGTAAAAGTCAGAACAGGCAGACTCTCTCACAAGGCCAGACTTTATTTCTTTTGAGTTTGCTGATAGAAGCCACAGCTGCTGATTTAGTCTCCAAAGCACACTTATCTGCTGAAAACCTGAGACCTTAACCTTGGTTAATATCAACCGTTTCAAGTCTAATATCAAAGAATGTGCGCTTAACCACTGAGGCACAAATACAGACTGACCTGAATGAGGAGATAAGCCTGCGAAGGTTTTGGTATGTCTTCAGAAACATTCCATTTATAGTTTTAATTCACATAATGAATTAATTATTTAGATCTTAATAATTAATTGATATGTTAACGTATGCATTTTTGTGTATTACTTACATGCTGAGTAATATTAGCATGTAGTTAACTATGTACATGCACAATAAACCATGACTCAGTTTAGGTTTCATTTAAAAACTGTATATTATCTCCTTTTCAATCAATATGAACTAATAAAACATTACGCACATAAAAAACAGTTTATTAGTCTTTAATCTCCAAAGGCTTTTTTGATTTCTGCTCATTTAATTAGAAAAGCATTCTTATAAAAGTCTCACATTTTTACACCAATGTTTGCCAGTTATATATGTTAGTTGGATGCAATCACGTCTGTTATTTATAATTTTCATTTTAGAGTATAATTTCTTACTACATCAAATTATACCCACTATTGGAGCTTCTAGTTATGGTGTGCATTCACATGTCTAATCTTTTTTCAATTTGTGCATGGTACAAATATTGCAGAATCGATCATTGTACATCAATATATCTCAAATCTGTAAATCTACCCCCCCAGTCCATGTACAGTACAGTCAGCTACCTTTTTAAACAAGAGAGCAGATATTATTTGTAAAACTTACCGGCTGAACAAACCTACAGAGGAAAAAGGACACAGAGAGCGATGTCTCAGGAGGACGACGAAGTGAGAAAGTGAAGAAAAAGCTGTCGTTTTCATTGTTCCTTTGGCGTCTTATCTGGAAGGACACCATCCTAACCAAAACATCAAACCTCCAGCCTTAACACTGAGGGAATATTATTTGGAAGAATGGCGGCTTAGGGGTCAAGAAACAAGCCTGCAATGTCCTTGCAAAAATGCTATGAACTGTCTATTTGACAACACAAGGTGTATTTAGCTGCTGTGCTGCTTTCCACTGTATGCAGTGGTGACCCCAGATGGGGCCACTGAAAATCGTGGGGTAGCACCAAAACCAAAGGCCACAACTGAATTTCAGGAATTTGCTTATGCAGTTGAAGTATACAGACTAGTTGAAAACGATCTCAATAAGAAGAATTTTCTAATTATCTGATGTGCGTAGACTAATACCAGTAAAGTTAACATTTTGAGTTCTCCAATAATCCTGTTTAATGCCTTATGTGTGTGTCTATAGATGTGTTAAGCAATTGTTCTTCAAATAAGCTGGTTGTCCTTTTCCTTAAAAAGATAAATGCACAGCTTTAATTTGAAGGAGTATATTGAGTCTAAGGACCAAAACATTTACAAGGAGATGAGGTGCCCAATGGCTCAGTAGGAAGGGCAGGTACCCCATGCACAAGGGCAGTGACCTTGCCACAGCAGCAACAGGTTCAATTCCAGCCCATGGCCCCCTGCTGCATGCTGTCCCCCCTCACACCTCCAAAACTGTCCTGTCATTTAAGGCCAAAACAACACCAAATAAAACATTTACTGTGAGAAAACCTTCTCAAGTCTAGGGTAGACTCATAGGTAAACTCGTAGGTACCCATGGAACCCATTTTCATTGAGAAATGAGGTGAGAGTTCAAGGGCCCCTTTGAAAATGGCCATGCCAGTTGTTCCCTTGCCAAAGTTCAGCCTGATATTGGATTGTTATTTAGTTTACTTTACTTACTAACAAGATATGCTGACATGGTTGGTACCAGTGAATGCCTTAGGTTGTCTAACTTTACAACATGCCACTAGCTTCTAGCTTGAAGCTAAAGCTTAGCTTAAAAATTGGGACACCACAGCCTCTTAAAGACAGTAAAGTCAGCCTCCAATTATTTTTGGCCGGTGGGACTAGCAACTGTATTAGTTGAGTGTGTCACTGACAGTATGACGTGACCTACCTCAGCAGATGGAGTTTGCCCTGTTGTCATGGAATTGTCGATGCTCAAATTTCCTTTTTTCCTCTCTGTTTTTTTTCCATGATGATGTCAAATTGACCTCGACCTTGGAAACCCTTGTTATCCAAAGGTCTATTTACAAAAGATTCTGGAGCTCTTGATAATTTTTTTTACATCATGCTATTTATTTAAACACTTCCTGACAGTGGACAAGTTTATTTGCTCATGCTTCGTCAGGTTAACTTGCCTGACACTAGTTTTTCCACTATGCTGATAACTATGCTCCCACACTGTGGAATAGCATTCCCAAGCATAGTCAAAAAAGCATCCTATGTGAGTGTTTTCGAGCTGTATCATGTAACATGCCGTTTCTTTTAAACTTAGCTTTTAGTCAAGTCTTTTAATTTTAACCATTCCTACTTTTTATTTGACTCCTGATGTCACTTAATGCTTATTTTCCTTCATCTTCATTTTTTACAGTACATTTTGTCTGAGAATGAGCCATATAAATGTTCATTATCATGTACGTTACCAAGTGTCTTTAATTTCTTACTCATTTTAGTATTTTCTTTACTACTTTGCCTATTCCATATAGACATTTACCAAATGCCTCTTAGAAAAATCTGACATGTCAGATTCTAGTTTGTGTTTAAATCCTCCCATAACAGTTCAGGTTTCCTCTGCACTGGGCGGATTTACGGAAGACTGCCCCTCACGTGTTCATCAGGTTTACAAACAGTCTGTGACCCGGCTGATCTGAGGGGGGTCACAGGGTAAACGCTGACAGTTGGCGTGGTGTCTGTTCACGTCAATGATTTACACCATGCTGGTGTTTTAAGAGGAAAACGAAGCATTTGTGGCCTTCAGCAGATCAGTCAACATTTCATATACACCAAAAACCTATTGGTCAGATAAAGGACTCATCTTTCAAGGCATATTTGGCCCCTTTACACAAAATAAAAGACAGGAGAGTAAGGGAATGAAGAAAGAGATTTATTGTTCTTTTGTATTATGATGACACGTCATATTTAAGTCCACATTTTTATACACTGCACTGTTTATGTAGGCAACCACTCAACACAATATATCTGAATCTGTTCACTTTTCTTAATATAAGTACTTATTTTAAGCTATATCGACATATAATTAATGTAGCTTAAATATAGTTTCTCAATGAAACAAAACATCACCATCTCACTCTTCATCTCATTTCAACTTCACTCCTGGAGATGCTTGAATGTTGTACTCTGAGCAAAGACACCTAAAGCTATCATTCCCCATTCACCCATTCACCACCATGTTTGTATTTACTGTCAGCACTCTCACATGTTTAACACCGCACCAGTACGTCTTGGTTTTATCTCAACACTGTCTTTGATCAGACCAAGAGGCTTAATAAGTTAAGACATTTTCACACTGCAAGAATATATTCAGATTTATACTTAAGTTTGATTTACAAATGTGCTCTTGTCACCTTCAATTCACATGTATCTTGGACTGAGTTACATTTAGCAATATCACACTTAAGTTAGTATTGCATGTTGCACATTTTGCTCATTAAAACTTTACTACATTTAGAGGGATTATTCTACATTATGATATCAGTCTGTCTCTTTGACTTTGAATGATGCTGGGTTTGGTTTCAAGTCAAATGCAGTTTGGTTTTTGTAAGTGTGCCATATACTGTAGATGTGGTTAGAGCTGGTAAGAAGCGGTACAACCAGAAAGATCTGGAAAGTCAAAAGCCAGCACAAGATGAATTTTATTTTATCATCATTTTGTTTATGATTTTATGGTTGCAGATTGCTTTGTTATTGCTTTCTTCTGACTGTCTTTTTAATGTAACATCTGAGGCGAGGCTTTTGATCTCACCTGCACTTCTATACTGTATTCTGTTGTGCATGATAGCGTGCAGCTCCATAGAAAAATAAAATAATGTACATTCCTTTTTTATATTAAATGAATCAAGCCTTTATGACCCCTGCTGGCCGCACAGGACTCAAAGTCACACCAAGATTCCAAAACCCTGCCTGTCCACCATTAAGACATGTATGTGCATTAATTATACTGCAGCTTCCCTTGAAATTGATACCAACTCAGCAGAAGAAAATCTCTTAACTACCAACCTCAACAGAGCCTGAGAGCTAATGACACACGAAACTAAAACTCCAGTAACAAGAAGATATGATAACTGATTAAGTCTTTAGTGAAGGAGGCAAGGTGAGCTCTTAGCTTGAGCTGATGAGCACATGAGATCCAAGGACCCAGATCCACTCTGGGACACATCTCATCAGTCCATACTGGGGAGAAAAATAGCAAAGAGAAACACATCAGCACACAGACATGTATTATATATTTCATGCTGGGAATGTATCAGTGATAGTGTGACTGTGAGTAACTCACTTATCTTGTACTCACCTGCAGTGTGTGAGGCCAGTAACCAGTGGTCCTATTAGTGACACCCAGGGTGGAGATGGCGTGGCGGGCATAAACCTCTGGCTTTGGTGCAAACCAGCCCGGTGTTGATGCTTGTGTCGATGTTGATGGTTGTTGCTCACTTGAGGCTATCTGGTTACACATACACATAGACACATACTGTATATCAAGCTCTATTATGTGGTCCACTCCATTTATTTCAATGAGGGTAGGCTAAACAACAGAAATACCTCTCTGTAGTTCACAAAACACATTTAGGTGTAGTACCCAGCCCTACTTGTTAATGATCGTATCAGGCATTTACCTGGAAAGGAATCAGACTTTGGACAAAGATCCCTCTGCCGCTGTACTCAAGGTGAAGAGCTCTTGACAGCTGATCCATGTAGCCCTGAAATGTCAGAAGAATGGAAGAGATTACTGCCAGGATTGAAAATGTGTGCTTGAGGGAAGGTTAGCTCTGACACATTACCCTTACAGTTGGAGATACCAGCATTAATAGACCTTTTTGGAACATTTATATTTATTACAAATGGCCCTTTCATACTATGACTAATCCCATGCTGTGAAAAAGATCTATAAAGGGTACAGAGGTGTATCTGTAAAGCAGATATCCTCAGTGTTTGGTCTCACAGCAGAGGCGGTGAGTGTCACTCTTCCAGGCAGAGGTCTGCAGCAAGCACCCGACGATATATTGACCACAGCTCCTCTGCTGCGCTCCACCATCCCAGGCAGCACCAACCGGGTCATCAGAGTAGCCACTGCAACGTTCTTATTCAGCAAATCCAGCAGGGCCTGCTCAGGCACTTCAATAAGACTCTGAGGGGAAGACATTGACTCCACACAGTTCACCAAGAAGCCAATATCTTTCCCCCTCATGGCTTCTTTGATGGTCTTGCTGGCTGCCTGGTCCAAAGAGAAGTCGGCCAGGACGACAACAGTTTCCACTCCGTAGCTCTGAGAAAGGGACGCAGCTGTTTCTCGCACAGAAGTGTGGTTCTGAGTGACAAAGATAATGCTGATACCGTGTCTGGCCAGCTCCTCTGCATAAGCTTTGGCCACAGGCTCTGATGCACCTGATGAGAGAGAGGACAATATTTATCGATATGAGTCATGGTAGGAAGAAATGGGGATTACCAACTGAGATCTCCTGCACACTATGGCCTCAAAACACAGAGGATGACTGTATGACTATAATAGTTAGTTGATTAGTCGATTGCAAAGAAATTACAAGTACAACAACTTCAAATAGGTTGGTTATCTATCATTTAATAGGGAAAATGCCAAACATTTTCTAGTTCAAGCATCTCAAATGTTAAAAAATGCTACATTTCTCTGTTTTATATAATTGCAAAATGAACATCTTTAGGTTTTGGACTGTTGGTTGATTAAGACAGTTTGAAAATGTTATCCTGTGCATTTTACACTATTTTCCAATATTTTATACACCATGAATAAAACAACATTACGGATGCGTTAATATATAATAAAAATAATGATTATTGAAGGACCTAGTTTAACCAGCCTAGCTACATTTTGACACCTAAAGCAAACTAGAATGTGTTACTCTTAGGGTTGCAACAAAATGAGTCTGTCAGTTATGGTCTTGATTTATTGATTAATTATTTTATCTATAACATATCAGAAAATAAAAAAAGGCTCCTTGCCATTTCTCAGAGACCAATTTGACAGATTTTGTATTCTAATTTAAAAAAAACCTGTTTAATAACTAAAGACATTCCTTATTACAGTGATATCAAGCAAATAAAAGCAGCAACATTTTAAATCTGAGAAGCTGAAACAGGCACATTTTTGGCATTTTTTACTTGATATATAACTTAAATGACTGATCGATTATCAAAATTTCTGACAAATTTAAAAAGACTATTATTTGTAATAAAAAAAAAGGCTACTTGAAATTTCTCAAAGACCAACTTGACAATTTTTTTTATTTTAATAATAATAATAATAATAATAATAATAATAATAAAAAACGGTTAAATAACCAAAGACATTAGTTTTTACAGTTATACCAAGCAAAGAAAAGCAGGAAACTTCTCAAATTCGAGAAGCTGAAACCAGCAAATGTTTAACATTTTTTACTTTATAAATAACTTAAATAACTGATCGATTATCAAAACTGCTGACAAATCAAAAAGACTATAATGTGTAAACCTATTTTCCTTTCCTGGCTATGATGCCCAGAGCTCACTGTGGGCATCACACTGAGTGTTATATTTGGGGTTGCAAAACGATTTGTCTGCCAATAACTGTCTTGATTTATTGATGAATTATTTTCCTGCAATGTCTCAAATCCCAGGATGGCATGTTCAGATTTCTTATTTAGTGAGACTAACCGTTGAATACCCAAAGATATTCATTTTACAATTATATGCATAAGAAAAAAGCAGCATAGTGACAAATTTCAGAGGCTGAAACAGGCATATTTTGTCATTTTTTTGCCACAAAATTAACAAACACTGATTTGATGGTGACACATCACTTAAAAGAAGAATAGTTGCAACAATAAAATGCATAGAGCTGACTCTTTTCTCTCACACAGTCTTGCATCATGATGCACTCTCATTGTCGCTGCAATGTTAACCTACTGCATCCTTACCATACACGACAGCCCAGTCACCAAATCTCTGGGTTAGCTTCTTACTCGGGATCATTCTTGGCAGGAAATGTACCCTGACCAACGTGCAGCAGTCTCGCAGCAGGATTACAGCCCGGCTAGCCGTATAAAGAGCTCCAACCAGTGCCAGGGTTTCAAAGTAAGGACTGCATGACCGAGAAACTTCTCTATACAAAAACTGAAAGCTGTCAACTGCCGCCATGGTCGACCCTATTGATGCTGATGCTAGCCTGCTAGCTAAAGCTTATTCAGTAGATTTAACGTTAAGATATCAGAGCGTAACGTTAACTAGTAACTCAGGCGTGTGAACAAAACATGTCGCCGTCCCTTTAGAGTAGATTTCTGTTAAAGTTATCGAGTTTGACAGACGGTTCAGGAGGAAGAGATGTCCCCTGGCTGCACCCGGTAGAAGAAGCAAAACATTGAGTCACGTGACCATGTATGTGATTGGTGCTGCATTCAAGAGAAAATTAGAAAAAACGAAATATGTCAATCTGAAGCGTAATACTTTGTAGAAGTATTCACATCGGTCATGATTGAAGTTGACTGCAGTGGCTGGATGGCACACCCTCATATCTTAGATGGTGTAGACTTATATGTCGATATACAACTTTTTTAGTTATTGTTATGATTAATATGTTACATATGAAACCCATATTTCCGACGCTCTAAAAGGCAGCGTGTAATTTCTTTCCACAGGTTTCCATAGAGACGCAGCACTCGGTAGCTAGTGGTACCAAAATGCTAACGTTACCGGAATGAGAGGCTCTTACAACTTCAAGCACAAGGTGACCGCTTTACAGTATACTGCATACGATGTGTTTCTGTCTAAGTGGTGGATTTGTGCAGCGGGGAGTTTTTTTGGTTTTCGCTCAGTTAAAATTTGGCAGTTTTACCTCAAGCTAGCAGTGTTGGTACTTGTAGCAGCATCAAGCTAACGATAGAGGAGCAGTTAGCTAAGGTTAGTTAGCTGGTTTTGGCTGTGAAGTGAAAACGTAAATACTAAATAGTCAGTTTGGGTTACAAAGACCAATTTATTGTTGCTGTTAGACTTTTATCTGTATATTTCTGTGGAGACAGTTGCTATTGAAAAACCTAATATACATTATGGACTGGAGGAGGTAGTCAATTATCACACCTGTTGGCGATGAACTGATTGACACTTGCTTCATAGACCTTTTCACAGACGACATTTTGACTTGTCACTGTAGGAAAGCACAGGTGTCACTAATGAAATGAATGATGGCTGAATTCCATTTAGCTTCTTTAACTTCAGGGTCCTTGTATAGTGCATGCTGGCTCACTGTCACTCTGACTGGAACATTTGAATGGGACGGAGCCATCGTCAGTGTCATTAGTTACATCTGTGCTTTTCCTAATATGACATGTCAAAATGTCTGCTTAAGTTTCAGCTGGTGAAGAATAAAAGATGGAGGTACTCGATACAAATGTACAATATTAAAAGAGCTATACATAATAATAATAACTTTACTCATATAGCACAATCCATGCATAAAATTGAACACAAAGTGCTAAACATAAAAGACAATTGAAACATTCGTGATAGAGAAAAAATGATAAAAAAAAAAATATAATAACATAACAATAAATAAACAAAAAAAAAATGAATTTACAGGTGAAAGCAAGGGTAAAAACATGTGTCAGAGGATCTTAGGGACCTAGCAGGCACATATAAGTTGACCATGTCAGACAGATAAGATGGGGGCCGTTCAGTGATTTAAAGACCAATAAAAGAATTTCAGAAATAATTCTGTGACCAATATAATGATTTTAAAATTGGAGTAATGTGGGCTCTCTGTCTGGTTTTTATGTGTATGCTTATTTGTATTTAACATATTTCATTTAATATGATCAGATATGAAGATAGGTAGAAAGTCAAAATAAAATTTTATAAAAAAAAAAAAGAGAGTAATATCAAAGTAATAGAGCATCCTGATAGATTTCAGTGTGGGAACTCTTCTTTTTTTGTGCTTATTGGACCTTGACTACGGTTATGCACCCCAACTGTCTTTTTTTATCTTTGGTTTAGGGTGATATTTTTTGTCTTTTACCTATTTGCAAGGAAAAACAAACTATCCATTTACAAAGTGCTGCATATGATGTATAATATTTATTAAAAAATTTGCACAGCAGTTTGTTAATTGATGGCTGTAAAGAAAGGCTCAAATACACATCATTTTTTCTGAACTAAAGTTGTCTTTCAAACCCATCACCACCATACATTATACATTTTAAGTCTAGAAAACCAATTACTCCATTATGTCCCATTTTAAGGGCCAGCATTAGAGATGTCTCAGTTGTCAGCTGAAGATGAGGTGGAGTTGCAGTCTCTGCTCAAGCAGCTTCTGAGAAGCATCAATGACAAGATCTCTGGTGCTCCATCGACTGAATGTGCTGAGGAGATCCTCCTTCACCTGGAGGAGACTGACAAGAACTTCCACAAGTAAGACCTCCAGACTCGACTAACTTTAAAGATCTTACATTCTCTAAATTCTAAGTACATTATATGCATATAAGGTAGGTCTAACTATGTCAATGCTCTGCTTTCAGTTATGAGTTTGTCAAGTATCTCCGTCAGTACGTGGAGAGCTCTCTGGGGACTGTGGTGGAGGAGGAGACTAAGAACTTAACCAGAGGAGATGGGCAACATGCAATAGGCTCAGGTCACGACACCTTGATCCACGCTGTCACCCGAAGGACCAGAGACTCTGCTGAGTGAGTGTAGCTCAGACTCTGACCTGTGTTCCCCCTGTTTTCTCCAGATGTGGATGATTTATTTATTGTGGAGTCAGTTCACAGGCAGTAATTCTGTTTTGTGTGAACTGTGCTAACACCAGAAATCCTCCAGTGTCTCACTGTATGATACTTATTTTCATATTATTTACTTCAAGGAATATTTCAGGCAACAAGGCATGAGTAATTGATTTGCAAATGATCCTTTTGTGGGTGATATTATTCTTTTAGTGTATGGATATTAAAGGCCATTTTGATTAACTACTGAACTACTGAACTACTTTTCTTGTAACCTATATGCAGCCTTCTAGAGAAAAGAAGCCACAGAAGCTGATGTTATGTGATGTCAGTGACCTAGCCTTAGCTTTGGCCTGGGGCGCAGTGTTTTATATTAGGCACAACAAAAACCTTTATGGTATCTACAGTGCGTTACTTGTCTGCTGCTCCAAATCAGAAAACCAAAATGCCCTAAAGTTAAAATTGAAAACTTGCAGTATTTGGTTTTCTGCTTTCAACTATAAATGGAACAGAGTGGTTACCTATTTTTGGAGGGCATGTTAGAATAATAAAACAAAACATTTTCTGAATTCTGAATCAGGCACTTCGAACTCTCGCACAGCAGGTGAAACAGACCCGCCTTTAATGTTTTTAGCTAAATAATTGACACCATGTGATTTAAATAATAGACTAAACTGTACTTACTTCTGTGAAAGGTACCAGCAGATGATGCAGACCTTGAAAAACACCATGATCATGGTGGTGGAGTCTTTGATCAACAAATTTGAGGAGGACCAGATGAGGAAGGAGGAGATGCACCGAGAGAAGCAGCAGCAGTCCAACAGTCAGTACACTGACAACTGCTCTGACAGTGACTCCTCCTTTAACCAGGTCAGAGATACAGTAGATACACTTTTTTATTATTTTATTTCCTTTATTAGGATTTTGTTGATGGGTCTCATGAGGTGCCAAGAGTGTTTGTCAAGCTCTGGATGGCATGAGGCTCTATTGCTGTCTTTAGGGAGTTTATTTCTTTCCATGGTAGACTGAATGTAGGGCAAAGCCTGCACTAGATCCACCAAGTGAGCCCTGGAACTTCTGGCATTGTGCCATCAGACAGTGAGAGTGCTTCTACTTTGGTTTATGATAGATTATAATAATTTGTGTTTAATCTTTCTTTTCCTTTCTAGAGTTATGCATTCATCAGACAAGAGCAGCTGCAAGCCTTGGCTGAAAAACTTGACTCCAGCAGACCTAAAGAGGTAGAAAGGCTCACGATGATGGTGTATATTGCTGTTCCATAGTTTGTGTCAGTAAACTGCAGAGTCATGAGTGGCAGTGTGATATAGATCAGTGGTTTCCAGTCTGGGGTTTGATACCCAACAAAGGGTTGCAGGATAAACCTGTGAGATGATTAACCGGATAGGGAAAAAATTAAACAGAAAATTGTGTTTATTTTATCAGATTTTCACCTCATATTTCCACATTCTTTACTGAGTTACAAGATAATTGACCTCCTCAGGCCTCTAAAAATTAAGTTTAAAAATCACTTAGTTTAATTTTTTTTAATTATCAGAAGACATTAGCCTGATAATCTGATGTAGTTAGGTCACCAGCTAGAAGTGAAAGAAGATGGCATCATCATTTTTACCCTGCTTGCAACATTTTGATTGGATGATTGTTATAGTAGCCAATGGAAAAAGCCTTCAAAGGTCATAAGACCAGACCTGTATTAAAAATATTGAGATTCACAGCTATAATAGAGATGTAGACATATGCAACTAGTGCAGAGTAAACATTGCTTTGCCTACAGGAGTCACAAGCCACAAAGTTTGATTATTATTGCCATAAATTTAAATATGATTAACAACGTCAAGTGGTGTAATTCTGTGTGTAGGTGCGTTGGGAGGCTCTTCAGGCCCTCTGCTGCGCCCCTCCATCTGATGTGCTGAGCTGTGAAAGCTGGAGCAGCCTGCGCAGGAACCTCTCTGCAGCTTTGACCGACCCTGACCTCAGTGTGAGTCCAGAGCAGCCTCATCTACAAATGTATTCATTTACAAATCAATCAATAATTATAATGTTATTTTTATGAGCAGTTTCAGGCTTTATAATTAATGATGATAAGCACAGAAAACTTGATGTTCATCATCCCATGTGCAAACCTGCCACACCTGCTTAAATAGAGGAGAAAACAAGATAAAACTGCTCTCCCTAATGACTGAGAGCTAATTGGTCTCAAATATACAGGCCTCCCTCTCTGTAGAGGCTGCCAAATCTTATTTAGTGAAAATCTCTTAATATATGTTCTCATAATAACATTCAGATATAATTGATTAATTATATTTATGACCATGCGTGTGTGTGTGTGGATGCTGATAATGTATGCCTCTCCCTCTTATCTCTATCAGGATAATGTGCTGCAGTTTTTTGCTAAAAGCTTCTCTTCCTCTCCACTGAATGTGACACGAGAGATCTACACTAGCTTAGGTAGGCTCTTCTTTACTGCATCTGCAGCACCTTCATGTTTAAACTGAACTACATTTTAAAGGGTCAGCTGCTTATTTCAAGTATTATCTCACCATACAGACACTGTAGTTTTGGTTTTATGTACAGAGATTTTGAGATATACACATCTTAGCTTTCTGCAGAGACCCAATA